TTGAAAAAGACAATAGAATTCCATTTATTAAATATAAAAAATTGATAGTTGCAACACAAATGCCTCAACAAGAGGAATAAATGAAGAAAAACGCATGCATGGAGCATTCAAATGAAACAGGACCAGACAAATTCACGATGGACTATGACTAGATTAATTTTACGTTTAGGTGCTTCTTAGCCTTTTCACTGAGCTATACCCTTCTTCATTGTCTTGAGCTTCCCGCTTTAATGTATTTTGCTTTTTGTTCATAAAATTCATCAACCATACAGCTGAAGCTTTTGGAAATCTTGTGAAACGGCCATTCGCGAAATCTACGTAAAAAAGGCCAAATCTAACACTGTATCCTGCGCCCCATTCAAAGTTGTCAAACATTGACCATATGTAGTAAGCCTTCACATCTACGCCTTCACTGTAAATGAAATGAAAATCATGAACAATGAAATTTTGTATTAAAATAGTCAAATAAGTTCATAATTTATAGTTTTCTTTGAGATCTAACGCATAATTATAGGAGTGGTGACTTACTCCATCGCTTTCTTAATGTAAAAGAGATGGTCTTGGTGATATTTAATCCTCGTCTCATCGAATCGAGTTTCTGAAAATGTTAGGGCCGTATTGTTCACTTCATCTACCCCTATACAAATTAAATCATCCAATGAAACACATTAAACATGTTAAATATTACCAAACGTTTCTTATCTTCCTAGATAAAATGGCTAATTAAAATGCTATGAATTTACCGTTCTCAGTAATGTAAATGGTAGGATTATTATATGTTTCCTTTAAATGAACCAATAGCTTGTAAATCCCATAAGGAACAATGTACAACCAATTAGAACCGCCCTGGTATAAGAATGATAATATTTTATTAGATTCGGAGTAAAGCGTAGTAATGCAATCTAGTTGCAGTTATGACACAATACTCCACTACCAATAGATTGCGACAATTCAATCTAGCTTCTATGTTCTTTCAAAGAAAAGACAAAGTTGAAAGGCGTACCTTAGGACCAATAGGTATCCCGTCACGTTCACCTACAAATGATTGAGAGAGTGAGTGTCACATGTTAATAAGGTTAATTTGTATCTATACATGAACAAGGTCCATATACTTACTTGATACTGCAACATCCTGATCATTTGAATAACTAGGTGATGTACTAGTTCCGCTAGGTGAATTGCTAGCATAAGTACTAGTGTAATAATTTATGCCTAGAAAATCGTAAGACCCTTTCACCAACTTTGCTTGTTCTTGTGTAAATTGGGGAAGACGGTCTCCAACTAATTTTCTCATAACTGGTGGGTAGTCACCAGTTACTACTGGTGCTACAAACCTGAAAAATGGGGGAGGAAAAGAGACATTGAGACTTGAGACAACTTTTATATAATAAATTCGAACCAAAAACAAAGTGAGAGAAGATGCTTGTATTTATATTCAAACCAAAATATAAATTTACCAATACAATTTATTCTTTAGAAATCTTAGAAAGGCCGCCAATAAATATTGGAAGTAGAAAGCATAATTGTGTGGAAGTATGAGAAGAAAAAGATTAAATCTGTTTCGTACATTCAGCAGTATATCAAGATGAATTGAAGCAGTATAAATTAAAAATATCAAAAGCATTAAACTAAGCTTTAGAATAAGCAAAGGTCGTAGTAACATCATGTAGTGAACAATTTAATTCTATAGGCATCATGTGAAAAGATGAAATGAGCAAAGCCACTTACCAGCCCAACATAAAATCCAGGCCCCTCGAAGCAGCCTCTTTATCGGCTATAGTGTCAGTGAGTGGCTCATACCACTGAGCAACATTTGTTACTCCTATCTTGCCTCCTTGATGTGCCTACACATAAGTGTGTGTATAAACTATACAATATCGAATCTCCAAATTGTATATAAAATTTGTTTCATGATATTTATAATGTAGGGCAAGTTTTACCTGATATCTTTGCTTGTAAATATCAACTGCCGCTGCATGAGAAAGGATCAAATGGTGTCCCACAATATATGGTTCTGTTCCCGGATTTCCATTGGAGCAACTAGTTAAAGCATCAAGATTACACCTATGACGAGGGATAGCCTTTACGGGCTCTGTTGAAGTTGGACCACGACCGGGTGGAAAAGTACCCAATGCATATCCTTGAATAGCAAAGGACCACGGTTCGTTTAGTGTAATCCAATATTTCACCCGATCACCGAATTCCCAAAAGCAAAGCTCAGCAAACTCACAATAATCTTTCCTATCAATTACAAAAAAGTATATATAATAATTAATAAATACAAATATATATATGATTAACAGTGTTTTTCTAGTAATACTTTTTAGGAGCATATTTAATTTTTGTACAAGAGCTTGACTTGATAATACAAACATCTAAGGGGCATTTAGTTTTGAGAGGAATTAAGTATCTTTAGTTCCCTTATATTTGCATTGTTTTCTCATAAATATGATTTTGCAAAATTCCAAAGGTGCCTTAATTATTATGCAAGATTTCATTACTTACACAATTCGAGGGCTTAAGAAGCCACCATACTCATCTTCTAAAGATTGGGGAACGTCCCAATGGAAGATAGTTGCACACGGTTCAATACCTACACAAAAGTAGATTTAATAATCTAAGACGTAAGATTTTTATCTTTATAAAAAGTTTTAAAACGAAGCAAACAATAATTGTTAAAAGGAAAAATTATAGTTGGGCTAACCTTCGACAAGGAGCAAGTCTATAAGATCATTATAATACTTTATTCCTTCTTTGCTTTTGCCAGATGATAATCTTCCTCCTACAGAAAAAATAAAATTAGATAAAACTTCACCAAATTTTTCTTCTTCACAAATGGTGTTCGAATTAAGTCTTCACGCTCTCTTATGTATATATATACCTGGTAATACCCTTGTCCATGCAATTGAAAATCTATAAGAGTCAACGCCCAATTTTTTTAACAAAGCCACATCTTCCTGTAACATTATGAAAACCGGAAAGATGTTATCTACACAACCTCGAAATTGTTTTCTAAGTCAATTTAAAATTATGGTATAACAATGAAATTATTGAATTACCTTCCACAAATTATATTGATCAATAGCAACACAACCATTCGTTCCACCTTCAATTTTACCTGCAACTCGAATAAACACGCTTAGAAATTGACACGTAACAAAAAAATAAATGCATATGAGTGTATAAAAAGTATAAACATAAATTTGTGTATGTATGAAGATTGGAGATGGAAAAGACCAGGTGTTCTCAGTGTGAAGGCATCCCAGTTGCTCTGGCCTTTACCGCCCGTGGCCCAAGCCCCTTCAACCTAAATTACATTGCAAACAAAATTAAACAACGAAATCACAACTAAATTGCATGCATATTCATTGATTTTTGAGCACCGCAAACATTACAAACATACACACCTGATAAGCAGATGTTGCAGAACCAAAGATAAAATCCTTGGGAAAATCAGAGCGCAGGATCTTGGCCTGGGTGTATAAGCCAACTTGGCCACCATTCGTCAACAGACTATTTTGGTTATCCATTACTACAAAATATAAAGGGCCTTAATTTGAAGTAGCGTAAGTCGAGTGTTTTGAGAGCGATGTAGTGTATATGCAATGGACAAGCAAATGATTCGGGTATTTATAGGGGATTATGAGAAAAATAAGGCATGCATGAATTTTGTAATTACACCATGGCTGACTGCGGCTAGCAGACGCGTTTAGAAAGTCCATACTTTTGTTCTAATTTCTATTCTTCGCCAGCCGCCAATCACCACCAACCACCCAATTATTGAATTTCCATCTTCCTTGCATAATGCAATGTATTTTAAGATTTTATGACTTTTAACTTTATGATGTCCACTTGTAAATCCGTGCGCTGAATTAATATTTTAAATTAGAGTCCTATACATTTTCGTTTAAATAATTCGAAAATTCAACAAATTTTATGCTTAGGGGCCTCACTTTTTAGCATGGATGTTGATCTTTTAAAATTAAGTTAATACAGATTTAAAAATAGAGATTTATCCGTTGTCCAGCTAATAGTGTAACGAAATTAAAATTATAGTGGAGTACAAATTAAAAGTTAAATGAACAACACATTGTTCGTCCAAATAATATTCTTAACCATCATATGCACGTTGCAATGTCTTTTTTTATTTTTGATCACTTTCAAACTCGTTACTTGAGCAAAATGTAGATTATATAGTTGTCCAAACCTATTATGCCCCCATTTGGCCACCATTTTCTGAAATGAAAATGGATGGTACAGTGTTTTTTCTGAAAAATGAGTAGTTAAACAAGAAAGAAAAATTTTCGATTTACAGATAACATTATTTTATAGAAAATTGTATAGTTAAAAATGAATGAGAGAAAAATAAAATAAAATGTAATGTAATAGGGATAAACGGGGGTATGGACTGTCAGGTAGATATATCTTATGAAAAGCAATCGACCAGTAGAAAATTATGAAAGCCATCTCACCTAATAATGAGAAGATGGATAAGGTATTCTTTTTTAATGAACAAATATAAACTTTAGATTCTGTCCCTTAATTAATTTTAAAAACTAAGTCGCCGCCTGAGAGAGATTGGATTGAGACATCCCATGTGAGACCCATAGAGCATTATTGTCATAGGAGAATAAAAAATAATTATTTTATTCTCAGACAACTCAGTTTGAATGTAAAGACAAACTAAGCCTGCTACACGTTTTCAATTTCCCACATGTTTTGTGTTTCTTTGTCCCATCTAATCCCGTCAATCAAACATTTACTAAGACCGAACTATTTGTGATTGAACAAATCCCGTCTTTCTGAAATGGTCAAATTGATATATATATATATATATTATTATTTTTTTAATTTATATTTTACCTCTTTAAATTTTGAAATTTGTTCAAAATTCAAAAGCCATTACTTATTATATATTTTTCAATTGTTTTGTAAAATTGGGTGTAAATTAGTATTTTCAAAATTACTTTTGTATTCTCATTTACATCTCCATAGATTAAAATTCAAATTTTACTCCAATGAAAATCTAAATGTACTTTTGACCTTTTGCAAATATAAAAAAAGATTGTAAATTCACATTTTTTTTCCATATTTTTTGTTGAAAAAATGCAATTTGAATCGTAACATTGGAGAGGTTTTCGATTACTATAAAGATTTAATAACAATTTAGATCTACTTTAAACCACGATTGAAGATGCTCTTAAATGAGAGAAATGATAAAATTTAGGAAAAATTATATGTTGATTCTGTAATGCAAGCTAGTCCCATTATTTAAAATAGAGGTACTTGGCACTAACCCTTCCAGAAAAGTTGTGCAACTACAAATCTTTTAAATCATAATAAAATCTCTAAGTGGCCCATAGAAACGCATTTCCTCTTTGTTATTACTTGCATGATTAGGCTTGTTGTATAGACGTCTATGTTAATTGTGTCATCACTCGCAATAACGCTTGTCTATGTCTAGGGCACAATCCAAGGCTTTCAGGCCCTTTAGTGTTCGAGGCTTGAATCTATGTTCTGTCAAGTACTATGATTCTACGTGCTTCATTGCTAAATAATACTTCAATGATTGAGGCGTCCTTTTTTTCAATCGTACCTTGATCATTATGCGAATATGCAAACATGTGGACATGCAATAGGGCCCTGTTGTGGCTGACGTGAAATCCTGAGGGACAATAATTACTTCAGTACATACCCTTAATACCTAAGTTCGAGTTCCATGTTTATGTGAAATAACAAATTTTTATATTTTTCTGGTACAAACGTTAAAATTTCTGGTATCAGAGCCATTCTTGGTTGTTCGATTATTCATCTGCATGATCTGTTTGTGGAAAATCAATTTTCATAGCCAAAACTTGAAAAATCTGACAAGTAGTGAAACCCTAGATCCTATTCGTGGTATTTTTTAGGTTTTTGGTGTCGATTCTTTGGGAAATATTAGTTCTCTTACGATTATTGCTTGAATCATGTCATTGGTCGTCGGATCTTGATTTCTTGTTAACTATACTATAACCTCTTAGATATTTTACATGGGCTATTTGAGACAGTGGATGAGGTTTTCCAATCCACTATAGGGTTGCAGTATATTCTCTTTTCTTTAAATCCTAATATTTGATTTTTCCATTTAACTGGCTTTATGTATAAGTGTGTTAAGTCTTATCACTCTAAGAATTTTGAATTATTTATTGTAATTGTTTTCTACTCGACTGTAATTTCCCTTCTGCTTCCCCTTATATTCGTGCACGTGTTTTGAATTGAGTATTTTTCTGGGGTCTTTGAGTCTCAAGGAATCCTAGTTAATTCAAGCACAAGTAACTTGGAGTTATTCACGATGTTTATCCGTTCTTGATATTGTTGATGTTCTATATATTGTATGATCCTATGTTAGTTGTCAAACATTTTATTATGAGTATCTAAATCTACTATTGGACATTGACTCTTAAATGACTTTCTTATACTGATTAAAAATTTCAAATGACAACTACAACGTTTGAACTTGAAGTTTTTAATCGAAAAGGGATTTCCCCATTTGGCAACAAAAAATGAGAGGAGTCCTTATCCAACAGAAAGTTTCAAAGGCAATAATTGGAGAATTTTCATGAAACTATGATTGCTGATAAAAAAAAAAAAAAAAAGGAACATGATAAACTTGCATATACTTCCATTATCCTTCATTTGTCTAATTCTTTGCTATCAAATAGCCAAAAAAATCAATTTTTATAAAAACTTACTTAAATAAGGTAAAATAACTGGTGAATGTAAAGTCAAACTAAGCCTGCTACACGTTTATTATGTTATGAAATATGACTTTTTTTTATAATTGGCCAACTCTGCATTTGATATGATTTTGGTTTTCAATTGCCCACTTGTTTGACTTGACTTAGTTTTCAGTTTCTTTCTCCCGTGTAATCCCTTCATTCAAACATTTACTTAGACCGAACTATTTGTGATTGAACAAATCCGGTCTTTCTTAGGGGCTTTTTATATTTTTTAACCACATATTCTTGAAAAAAATAATGAAAGACATTTTTTCTCCAAAATCTACGTTTAATGAAACCCAAATAAGGGCATAAATACTACAATTTTAGCACATTGTCACTATAAGAAATACGGTGAAAATAGTGGATTGAAAAAGAGTCTAAACAAAATCTTGCAAGGTTTAAATTATCGAAAAATAATTTGTTTGCTTGTGTAGGTTTGATGGTCTTGCGAAAAATGACAAACATATATAGAAATTGTGAATAAGATACAAGTTTATATTAATCGATTCATCGATGGGAGTCATATTGGCGGCTAGCACTCCGAAAGTCAATTTAGTTGGGAAAGTAAATATTTGAGTGTGTGAGAGCTTTAGATGTGAGCCTTTAATGTAAAAAGTGGTCGACTTTGGAGAGTGAGAGATAAAATAGTGATATGGCAATGTTATAGCTTAAGAGTCTAAATTTGCATTACATTGAAATGATACTAAGTGTGAGCTTTTATAGTAGTAAAAGGTGAATAAAAATCATTGAATGAAGAGGCATGTGGCCTCATTTGTGAGGTTAGTGTCTCTTATTGGAGACATCAGTCAATCATATTCATTAGATGCTAGTACCATTTCATAGTCCATAATGCTGAGTTTGCTACTTTAGACTTGACTTGATTGACTGGAAATGACGGCGACAATAGTGAATTATCACATCAATCACATACTCAGAATTGTTTGAAAAATCATGCGCCCAACTTCTCTCATTGCCTTCCTCGTAGTTTGGGTTTGGTTCTTCCTAACATGGTTAATAAACACATTAATTTGGCTACTTCAAGAGGTTCGATCAAAACTGCCTCGCAGTAGTTCAACGCGGAGTACGAGGCCCCACATTTTCTTGCTAGCCTTATAATATGAGGCAAAACAATAGTTCCCAATGTCCATGGATGGTTATTTATATAATGTATTGACTTTTTAAGTTGAGGGTTTCTTGTTTTGTGAGGAAAAAGTAGCATAGCTCAACAATCTCGAAGTCCATGTATGGTTAGTTAGATAATACGTGGACTTTTAAGTACTAATGTGATGTTGTGTACTGGATGAAGTTCGATGTTCGCAGACCTTCGAAGGCATTTCATAAGCTGAATCATTGAAGACACTGCTAAAAGTACAAGCCTGTTGATGTAAATAAAGCCTAATGAAATAAAGGTGAGGCCATTGCTAAAAAGGCAAGCCTGTTGATGTAGATAAAGCCTATAGTAAGGCTTAATAAATCAAAGAAGGGGCTTTTGCTAAGAGAGTGAGACTGTTGATGTAGATGAAGCCTGTAGTAAGGCTAAATGAAGGAATGTGAGGCCCTTACTAAAAAGGAAAACCTGTTGTTGTAGATGAAATATGTAGTAAGGCTAATAAAGGGACGGCGATCTCCTTGCTAAAGATGGAGAGCCTTTTGATGTAGGTAAAGCCTATGGTAAGGCAGAATGAAGTAAAGACGAGACCCTTGCTAAAGAAGGTGACCTTTAGATGTTGAGTTGATGGGACACGTGCTGTAATGATTTGAAAACATATCCTATTTCTAAGATACGACAGCAAAGCAGGTTGGGACTTTCAATAAACATATTACATGTGCATTTATTACTCTATGAAGATG